CAGCATACCTAGCAGGGGATCTTTGAAATTTCTTTGTTCTTAAATATAATTGATTCCAACCCGTTGCATTGAAAAAAGCCTGTCCCTCTGAAGACCTCCACCCTTTAAAAAAAAATACACATTTGTATTTTTAAAAAAAATACAGGAATTGCAGCTGAGAAATGACCAGTGTTTTGTAGAGGGGGAAAGATTCACAATTTTCCACAACTGAGGAATATTTTTGGAAATTAATGGAATTGGCAGAGATAACAACGCTAGCTACTCTGAGGAAAGGGCAAAAGTCAATCTAGATTTGTTTCTGTTTGGAGACCACTTTTGGTGTTCTTATTTGAGAAAGATAAAACTGAAATTTCATTATTCAAGGTTCAGGTTTCAACAATTTGATTTGTTATGATTATAGAAATATTGTGTATTTTGCTCTTATTAGAAATGCACACTGTATATATGTTTATGTTTAAGGCTAGAATAAGAGGATACATACATGCTTACATACATATAAGCATACACACACACACACACACACGCACACACACACACACACATTCATTCATTCATTCATTCATTCCCTGTCTGGGAAATTCTGGGAGCTGAAGTCCATATCTATTCAAGTTGCTAAAATTGAGAAACAGTGGTTTAAACTCTAGTCCCTGAATCAACTGCCCTGTTTAGAGACAAGGATAGCCTTGTCTATGTAGGAGAAGAAGAAGCTGAGTTGGAAGGCAGGTTAAATGTGTCATCAGTTTGGAATCCTTCCATTGTCACAAAAGACCTAAGTTCAGCCCTCCCCAGTGAATTTCATTGCCCCTTATATAGCATCAATTTACCTTTGACCATTTAGTTGACAAGATTCTTGTATTAGAAGTAGCAATAATAACACTTATGTGCTTTGAACTGAACAAATAGTTCTGATTATTCCCCCACTGACAGTCTACCTATCACCACTCTGCTAAAAGCACCCTATATTCTCAAACTCCAGAAAATGGTCATCTATCCCGCCAAATGTGGTTCAGTTTGATTGGAGGATCACAGATACAGCTAAGCAAAGCCACCATCTGACTTACCATCCAAATCTGCAAAGTATTTTTTGCACAGCATATAAGAAGCAGAAATAAATCCTTCTTGTGAATACTGCCTCTCCGCTTACCTTATTGTAATACTTAATGTCATCCCCATAAAATAGTTATGGCTGCATTTTATTTTGCTTTCACAGAAACAAAAATTCAGATGGATCCTATTGGTTCGCTCTAAAGGGAAACCCTACATGAGCAACGAAGCATTAGAAAGAGGAGCAAAGAAGCAAGCTAATTTGTATATAATTCCACCTCCATGATGTAGTATCTAAAAATCACCTGAAATTTCAATTAATTCTCTGAGTAAGATTCTAGAACAGTTTTCTCTGGAGTAAAGGCTACACTGGGGTTCTGATTTACAAAGCAGGAATAGATTTTAAAATAAGCTCAACAGACGTAAACAGGCATTGAGCTGCAAGGAAAGAAAGCATCCCTTTAATCAATCATTAACCAAACACCCTGTTTTGTATGAACAAGTGTGCCATCAAAGAAGGTTAAGTAATCAGCATTCAACCCTCTTGTATAAGCCATGTTATTTGGTTATAGCTAATTCTCGTTGTACAATGCACGCTGTTCTGAACAATAATTCAATGCAGCTTGGTTAGGTAGCATCTTGTTATTGACAAAAGAACAGTTACTGCTATAAACAGATCTCGAACAAACAACAACTTGGTTGATTTACAATGCCAACCAAGGCATGAATTTCTGCAAGTTGTATCCACCTTTCCCCCCCCCCCAATCTGTCTAACTAATGCCCTAATGATCTCTTGAATTGGTGTATAAATTTGAATTGAAATGGTATCTTGAATTAGTACATAAATTTGAATTGAAATGGTCTCTTGAATTGGTGTATAAAATTAGATCATATTGTTTGTGGGGACTTTTGTGTTTCCTAGCCGGATTGCTGTTTTGGTGCATCATTTTCACCACAAAGAAACAGGGGTCAACTTATTCTCCAAAGCAACTGAAGGCAGGCTAAGAAACAATGGAAACTAAATAAGGAGAGGACCAACTTAGAACTAAGGAGAAATTTGATGACAGTGAGAACAGTTAATCAGTGGAATTGCCTTCAGAAGTTAGAATAGAGAAACAGAGTTGGAAGCAGTGATGGGATTCAGCCGGTTCGCACCTATTCAGGAGAACCAGTTCATAACTTTCTAAGCAGTTCGGAGAACTGGTTGTTAGAAGAAATCTTATTTTATTTTTTCCCACTTTACAGGGCTAATCCTGTAAGGAAGGCAGGAAGGAAACATTTTGGTGTTGTTTCTAGCCTAATCTTTATTGCCCTGCTTGCAGAAACTCCTTCTCCAATTAACACTTATTACATTGTAACAGCTAAGGTGAAGCGCCCATCGACGTGACTTGGCCACCGCCACATTGTCACATGACCACCGAGCTATGCCTACCCAGCTGGTCATTATGGCAGAGAATCGGTTGTTAAATTATTTGAATCCCACCACTGGTTGGAAGGGACCTGGGAGGTCGTCTAGTCCAATCCTCTGCCTAGGCAGGAAACCCGATGTTTGGAGCATTTACAACTTCTGGAGGCAAGTTGTTCCACTGATTAATTGTTCTAACTGTCAGGAAACTTCTCCTTAGTTCTAAGTTACTTCTCTCCTTGATTAGTTTCCACCCATTGTTTCTTGTTCTACCCTCAGGTGCTTTAGAGAATAGTTGTAGGTGTTCCATCACTTGAGACTGGACACTAGCCCTTCTCTGAAATGGTTTAGGGTCTGCTGCCTGAGCAGGGGGTTCGACTAGAAGACCTCCAAGGTCTTTTTCAGCTTTGTTATTCTGTTATAATTGATTTTGATGCTCCCGAATCTCATCATTCTCTGTTTCCTTCACAGTACCTCCGGACGATCCAATCATCATTGGAGGACCAATCATCAGCCTGCGAGCTGGAGATCCACTGAATCTGACCTGTCATGCAGACAATGCCAAACCAGCAGCAACTATCATCTGGATGAGGAGGGGAGAAGTCATCAATGGAGCCACCTATTCCAAAGTAAGGAGACCTGACAGACATCTGGAATGGGAAAAGCAAAGATACTTTGGGTTTACAGAGTTTTTGCCACAAGGAGCTTCTTAGGAAGTACAGGTAGTTGTTAACTAACAACCCCAATTGGGGCCAGAATTTTTGTTGCCAAGTTAGGCAATGGCTAAGTGATTTGTGCCTGATTTTACTACCTATTTTTGTCACAGTTCTTAAATGAATCACTGCAGTTATTAAAGGAATCATACGATCGTTAAGCAAATTGTAAGGCTCATTGTAAGCCAGTTGAAGACCCAAAGGTCACAAATGGCAATCACATGACCTCAAGACACAACCATGGTAAATACATGGCAGTTGGCAGCTGTCAATTTGATCATATGATTGTGGGGATGCTGCAACAGTTATAAGCGGTAAGGACCAGTGGTAAGTCGCTTTTTTCTGTGCTGTTAATTTTGAACAGTCACTACATGAATAGTTGTAAGTGGAGAAGTTGGTTCAGATCCATTCTTCTTGGAGATTTCAGCCCTTTCTTTCTATCATACAACTCATGGCATCACATCTGTCATACTACCCCAGCACTGAATCCAAACCTACTTAGTTTTGGAAAAGAGGGAGGATTATATGTTGTTTTATAATGCTCTGGGATCTTCTTTGTGAAGAACAATAGAAGTGGTCAGACTACTGCTGTTTTTTCTAAATCATAATATAAGAAGCTCAGGTGATACAGGGCAGGTGCTCAGCAGGAACAACAGAATGGATAAATGTACTATTGCTTCATATACTATGTTGCGTGAAATCTATACATGCTCCTATATCAGGGGTGTCAAACTCGATTTCATCGAGGGCTGCATCAGGGTTTGTTTGACCTTGGGGGGCTGGGTGGGCATGGCTGGGGTGGGCGTGGCCAGCTTGCCATCACTCATGTTGGGGGCACCTGTGGGGGCCCGGGTGGGGCTGGGGGATCCATTGTCTTCCTTCCTTCCTTCCTTCCTTCCTTCCTTCCTTCCTTCCTTCCTTCCTTCCTTCCTTCCGTCCTTCCTTTTCTTCTTTTTCCTTCCCTCTTCCTTCCTTCTCCTTTGTTCTTCAGGAGCCGAGGTGGCGCAATGGTTAGGGTGCAGTACTGCAAGCCAATTCAGCTGACTGTTATCTGCAGTTCAGCGGTTCTAATCTCACCAGCTCAAGGTTGACTCAGCCTTCCATCCTTCCGAGGTGGGTGAAATGAGGACCCAGA